ATGCAGAGCTCAGAAAAAAATATTTGTATAAACTATTAATAAAATAGAGAAATAGTAATTTAAAAAGTCAGTTTCTATTGATATACTTGGAACTATGCTTTCTCTTTGATAGTTATATGAACAGAAACTAAAAATGTAGCTCATCTTTAAATTTCAGAATCTAGAAAATCTGTAGAATTTCTGTCATTTTTTCCTCCAATTTTCTCCTTTCCTTTAGAGATAAATTAAGATTAACTGTTGGGAGAAAAGGTATCTTATTGGTTTCTTGCATAGAATTACCTCTCATTAAACCAATGGGAAAAAAGAATGAGTTTATAAGAGTTCACATTTATTGAGTTCTTTTGATGTGCCAGGCTACTGTTCTAAGCACTTTATGTTTATTAATTTTTTTATACTTTACCACAGTCTTATGAGGTACATGATATTATTATTTTATCAGTAAAGAAATTGAGGCATAGAGCACTAACGTAAATTAATGAAAGTTACACATCTAGTGAACAGCAGACCCAGGATTTAAAAGGAGGCTGTCCAACTCACTCTTAATCACTACACCAAATTTACAAATCTGCTTTCTAAAAAATCAGATTTAAACAAAATTTTATCTTTAGCTACATTAACTTTTTAAAGGCAGGTTATAAAATATCTCTGTTATGGCACTGAAATAGTTTTTTTCTTCAATTGAATCCTTAAATACTGTCCTTTCAGAAGGCAGGGTTAGTAAAAATGTCTCCAAACAGAGCTATAAACAGCTTAAGTAATACCTATTCGCTGGCACTTCCAGGAATGAGAAGTCTGTTTGTATTTTTTCTAGACAACTGAATTAACGTTACTGTAACTCACGCCAGAATTTATCCGTTCTAGACTACTGTTGCTCTTTATTCTACTTGAAGGGAAAATTAACTCTGCAATTTTTATTTGGATAATATTTTGTATCATTTATAGTATTAAAGTTCCTTTCTACTAAAAGCAGTCAACAGATTTAGAGATTAGTATAGGAATGACTATAAAGTAGTAAAATATCTTTTTTTTTCCATACACATGCTGAAGCTCATCCATGTGAGTCAGTGCTTCTCAGACTTTTTTCATTTTTACTTTTGTCCCCATGCAACCTTTCTAGACTTTTCTGCCTTATCATCCCCCCATGAAATTTTAAAACCACAGTTTTTGTATTGTATGTAGATCTGTACATGTAAAAAGAGTAGATACAAAGCTTCCCCTTTTTATCCAGTACAGGGTTAAGAATGGCTAAATAAAGTTGAGTTAAATAAAATTAAGACTAAACAAAATTAAGAGTTAAATTTAAAAGTGATTAATTGAACTTAACTTTACATAATAGTCATATCATTTTTTTTCCTTTTAAAATTGTTCCCCACTGTATTCGCCAGTATATTCTTCAAGCTTCTTCCAAAGGTTAAATACATCCTCAAGACAAAGGTTTGTCATGACTGAGGAGATTACAAGGAATGCAGACAGGCTCTGAGCAGTACTATAGAAAAGAAAGATCAATTAACATGAGAGTCAGAAAACCAAGCTTCGTCTATGCCTATGACAGGCTGTGTGATCATAGGCAAGTATTTTAACTTATGCGAACTTTATTTTACTTACCTTGAAAAAGTCAGTTATGCCTACTTCAAAATGATTATAAGGATTAAAAGAATTAAAATATGTTAAAGTAGTGTGTAAATTATAAAGGGGTATATAAGTATTGGCTATATATTTATGTTAAGATCCAATCAAATAGCTGAGTACTTCTCTCTTATGCTTAAACTAAATAAATTGGATACAGGGGTGGAAAAGAAATGGCGATTGACTTAGAAGAATCACATGTTGTAGGCCAGTTATCTTGAATGTGAAGCTAATGAGACCAAGATACAAGTTTAACTTAGATGTGAGTGGCATTTATTCAGTAAAGCTAATGCCACTGAGTGTAAAGCTCGTTTGTTGTCCACTGATCCCGAATCTCTGTGAACCTGTGTTATAAAGATGGTCTTAACCTGTAGGAGGCCTGGAAGAAAGCATTTAGAACAATCCATCACTGCTTTTGAAAACAAGTCACTTTAGAAAGTAATCTAAGTTAAAGGGGAGGTTTGTGGTCATATTTGCATATGAATTGAACTCATGATAAATTACTCTTAATATATAAATATTAAAGATCATTGTGTGGTATCATGTATCTGTGTTTTAGTGTTTTTAATCCTATCCTTTTCCAAAAATTAGGTCAAGATCTTTTACCGTATTTCCTGAGTAAATGCCAAGCACATCTAAGTTGCAACTACTTAAATATTTTACATATGTATTTCCAGGTTGCCTCTTTCCTAAGAAATTATAAGTTATCTTTCAATACTAAGTAAGTCTTTTTATCAGCAAACTATCCAATTACTATAAACCATGTTATTTCTTACCTATAGTAGTTTTTCCTTTGATCCCAAATAGAAGTATAGATAACTGAAGACATGTACTTTTTTTTAATACAGGGTAGAGACTGAAGATGGTGACTACATGTTCTGCTTTGATAATACATTCAGCACCATTTCTGAGAAGGTGATTTTCTTTGAATTAATCCTGGATAATATGGGAGAACAGGAGCAAGAACACGAGGACTGGAAGAAATATATTACTGGGACAGACATGTTGGACATGAAACTGGAAGACATCCTGGTCAGTATGGTCTTTTAATAAATAAAAATTATCCAAAGGCCTGTGTGATAGGCACTGAAATAATCATTTTCTCTGCATTATCTCATGTAATCTTTACTTAACTCTATGAGGATTATTTATCTCCATCTTTCCAATGAGGAAATTGTGGTTTAGGGGAGAGTAAGTAATGTTTGTCACATAACCAGAAACGGGGGGAACTAGAACTTGAACACAGGCTCTTCTTAACTATAAAACTCCCTTAGAATGTTCACAAATAAAGAAGGTAATGATCTATAGCATACTTGCACATAGAAAAAAAGTGAGCAATTTGTAAACACTTAAGATGTTATAGGCATTTTTCTCACAGCATAATTTTTATAACATGAAATTTAATATTACTTAATTTGGGAACACTGTTTACATTACTTAGACCAGACCTAGCAGTTATCAGAAACTAGGACTACATTTAGGAGTGAAAACTTTTAGAATATGGCTTGTTTGAATTGCCTTATCATTTACATGCATAATGAAATGTGCATGTGTAAGAACCTATTTGTCCATAATAGTATTGGTGATGGGGGAAAAGCTCATTACCCTTCAGCCACAGGTAGATGTAATCAAATGACAGAATTTACTGAGTGGTATTTGTAAATAGCATATATAGCTGTATTATAGAAATTGCTGCAGGAGAAATAACATGGTCATTGCCAACTAAAACTGTGTAATCTCTAATAGTCTTATAACCTGAATTTTTTTTTTTAATAATGTGGTATTTTGATCACTTGAGGTTTTTTAGGAAAGCAGCTGTCAAACAGCAGAAGAGACATACTATATGTAGATCAGTTAGCTTAAGAAGTCAGAAAATTAGACGATCATGTATTATCATGTGTGACTGCTTAGTGAATGAGCCCTCACAGCCTTGGTTTCCTCACCTGCAAAATGGGGATAATACCTCTAGAGTTGTTGTGAGGATGAAATAAGAAACGTCATGTGTCTAAGTGCTTTAAACAGTGTATGGCATAATAAATATTACTTTTCTTACCTTTTCCACTGGTGTTACTATGAATGCAAACTGAAAGGATTAAGTTTGATTGGTATGAATTTTTACCATGACAGTTTTTTATCTCACCATAATTTCCCATGTATATATCTTTTAAATTTCAATCATATTAACTTATTCTTCCATTTTAAATTTATTTTGCCAATAAGACTAAAACACTAGTATTTATAAACCTTATTAGTACTTCACTGCATTCTCAAGAGATTGAATTCATTCACATGGTTCAACAAAATGACCAGTAAGTTCAGATTTAAATATGGCTTAAAATACTTATAAGCCCTTTTTAAAGGAAAATGTCTTCCAGGAGCTTTATTTCCCCCCAAATTTTGTATCCTAACAGCAAACTTTGATAAATAATTTTGTATTTGGCTATCATTGCTGTAATAATGAAAAGAACTATGCATGATCTTTTTTTTTTTTTTTAAAGATTTTATTTATTTATTTGAGACAGAGAGAATGAGAGAGAGAGAGAGCACATGAGAGGGGGGAGGGTCAGAGGCAGAAGCAGAGACTCCAGGATCATGACCTGAGCCGAAGGCAGTCGCTTAACTAACTGAGCCACCCAGGCGCCCCTGCATGATCTTTTTTATTTGGGGATCTGAACTCCTTATTTTTCTAGAAAGTATTTGCATTACTAGGTTACTGTTGCTTTACAAATATGCCCAAATGATAAATATTACACTTTGTAGTTTTGTAGGTTTAGCAGAAAGTCTGAAATTTTAGTTTTTGCTTACATAAGGATTTTAAGCAAGATGACTATGCAGGAAAATCTGTTTCTAGTATTTTCTTATTTTTGCCATAAGTACAACTGACCCCTGAACAAAGTGCAGTTGAACTCTGCAGGTCTACTTAATGCACAGATTTTTTTCAGTAAATATATTTTCTCTTACAATTTTCTTAGTAACATTTTTCATTTTGCTAGCTTACTTTATTGTAGGAATACAGTATATAATGTATGTAATGTATGTAACAGAAAACAGTGTTTTGACTGTTTATGTAAGGCTTCTGGTCAACAGTATACTATTAGTAAAGTTTTTCGGGAATCAGAGGTTTTATGTGGATTTTTAACTGTGCAGGGCGTTGGCCCCTCTAACCCCCATGTTGTTCAAGTGGTCGACGATGTACTTTTGACATCATTTCAAATCTCAACTTAATTTTAACTGATATTCATATAGCCCTCTTATAGTTTTCAAATCACTTCTCTCACCAGGACCCTGCTATAAAAACAGGTTTTTCAGAAGATGTACAACTTAAAGAGTGCATCTTGATAAGCTTGTTTTACAAATGTAATCTTGGAACATTTTTGTATTAAAAATAGATTATACTTTTGGATGTATAATATGCATATCAAAAATTGGAATATTTTCTAATTTCACTATTATTTTGAGATGAAAACATTGGGTGTTTTGCTAGACACTAAATTGGACAAGATTAACATTCAAAGAAACTATTATAAAGACACAGTGCATTATATAAAGATAAGTATCTAAAAGCTGTTAATGTTTTTTTTTTTTCATCAGTTAGGTTTTTAAAAACTAGTCTTTTTCTTATGGTTGTGAGGCTAAGAAATAGTGTATATAAAATTCCTGGCACTATGCACTGAAATATATTTTCACATTATTTTTCAATTTACATTAGCTTTGTTCCTCTGTTAAGTAACTATTTGTAAACAATAATTTAAATATATCAGGAGAACTATTACATAAACTTACAGATCTTTAGGTGATCCAAGCAGTACCTGTCCCTTAATTAAAATCGTGTTTGGATGTAAAACTAATATGAATGTTAGGGTACTGTGAATCACATGTTCAACTTAAAATTACTGAGCATTCTTTGATAGTAAAATTATTTTATTTATCTCCAGGAATCCATCAACAGTATCAAGGCCAGACTAAGCAAAAGTGGTCATATCCAGACTCTGCTTAGAGCATTTGAAGCTCGTGATCGAAACATACAAGAAAGCAACTTTGACAGAGTCAATTTCTGGTCTGTGGTTAACTTAGTGGTAATGGTGGTAGTGTCAGCAATTCAAGTTTATATGCTAAAGAGTCTATTTGAAGATAAGAGGAAAAGCAGAACTTAAAACTTTAAACTAGAGTAATTAACATTGGGGAAAAAAAGACGGAAAAATGCAGTACACGGTTATAATCAAGACCATTAATAGTCTTTTCAAAAAATGTTTTCAGGCATTACCACAGTGTGAAACAAGTATAATTATAAGGTGAAAGGAGTCTTCACTTTCGTCTGTGCAAGTAATCTTACTGCTTCAGTTGTACTTAAGTGTATAACAAAAATATTTCACAGAGTATAGGTACAATTGAATGAAGCCATATTAATCAGTATTTTCCTAAGTTTGAAAAAATCTTGCAGATGTCATAGGTGATTTAAATAAATGAACTTTGGGCCTAAATGCAACACCAAACATTGTTTTTAAAAGACTGTCTTACCTAGAAGTTTCTTTGTAAATGTGGCAACTATAAATTAATTGTATAATTTTTCAGTATAGTAAATTATAAATCATATGAGAATTACCTAATCATGGATTGGATATATCTTTAGAAGACAAAAACTCAACTTTTCTTTTTACATATATATCTCTCCTATAATGTAAATAGAAGCATAGCTGTGAAAAACAGATTTGTGAGATTTTTATAACCAAATATATTTCAATTTAAAATATTAGCAAAAAGTATTAAATACTTAGCTTATATTCCCCAAAGGCCAACATTTTAATAATTCTTAAAAATGCTCAGTCATTATTAAAATTGGAACAAATTTTCTCTTTGAAATGAAATAGCCAAAGGCTGCTCACAGTCTCCATAAGGACACATTTGGTCTAGTCCTTAACTCAGAACTAGAATTTTGAAATTAAATGTGAGGAAAAAAATTTTATTTTTATATTATCTATCAGCAGTGTTGTTAGTTTTAACATGATTACTGACTTGGATAATACATTATTAACAGCAGTTGTGAAGGAAATACTGCTTAAAAATCTGGGCCTTACATAAATAAGTATCTCCTTTTCGGAGTTCTCAAAATCAACAACAACAATCAATAAAGAAGAATTTAGGTAAGCTTGAGAACATCTGATCAAAATTAAGGTCCCTTAAATAAACTGTAAGTATCTGGAATCTGATTGGTTCATCATAATGACCCAATCCTAATATCAATCATGAGACTAAATTCCAGATAACTGAAGAAACTATACTTGGCTAGGGTTTTATTTTTTACAGTTGTTTTATTCTGTTTTTAATTGTCTTAAGTATTCAGGTACATTTTATGAAACAAACTACTGTAAGGTTTAGCACTGGGTACATACAATTGTTAAAACTTTCACTAAATGACCTTTCTGATCACTTTATTTATTGACATTCAAGTAAGGATTTGAAAGCCCACAGAATCCCAAATTTAAAGTCAGTATGTGAATAACTCTATGTAAAGTCTCTGCCATCCTTGCTTATTGCGATCTGGGGAGTATTAAATACTGGTAATTTAGCTACATCATGAATTAAATAGAATTTTTAGGTTATACCATTTGTAATATTAAGACAAATATGAGAAATCAACTTAAAAATTTGAGTATAGAACTTGTCTGTACATTAGTACTGCTGGAATTCTTAATAAGCAATGATATTGAGAGAATGGTTTCATTTACTAATTTACAGTCAGAGTGGTACAAAAAGAGATTTATCTCCCTCCTTATGCCCTTGGGAGAACAAAAAGATTAGCTATCCCTATATGAAGCTTTTAAAAAATGAGGTAAATGCCATATATAATTACCTTAACTGGCCAAGAAAATGTTTGTGTCCAGGAGTAGTGCCTACAAGGGCCAACAATCACCTATGAAGAGACCTCCCTTTCCCCCCTTCTGTTAAACTCATGAGAAGCAACCTTACCATACTATAACTAGTAAAACAGTACAGATATAAAGTACTGCATCTTTTCTATAAAACTGTGATCAAGAACTCTACCTCTGGCTGGTTACTGTACTATACTCTGATTCCTTACCTAACAATGAACTTGTTACATTATCTACAGATGATTTGTGCCACCGATTTTAAACCTATGATTCAGTAACGTCTTACAATGGCCTTATCTGGAAAAAAGGAATTTAGGAATACTGAGGACATAATTTTATTTTTATAGGCACAAAATGAAGAGTGGGATTAAGAAGGATGTTACTTGTATTAACCAAAAAAAGTATAATTAGCAAAGAACTAAATTCTTTAATATTTCTATAGGCATATAGTTTATCTGCCTGATGGTTTTTTAAATGTCAGTATTCAATTTTGAAATTAAAATTACGCTAAGATTAAGCAACTTATCATTTAATGACTGATTTTGTCTTCAGTTTTTAGTTATATAAACTCTTAAATTACAATATTTAAGGCCTAGAGTTTTACTCTTATTTGCATTTGGGTCATTAATGATGTGCTGTTCTTTCATGTGAATGTCAAGGTATAGAAGGTAAGTGAATGTCAAGGTATAGAAGGCAATTAAGTGGTTGAAATAGCATGGAAATAAATTACAAATTCAGATGTAATTTTATGTTAAGTGTTTTTATCCTTAAATATTGTTATTGTCTTAAAATTAACAAAAATTGAGTACCTATAATTTTAAGCCTCCCCAAGTAATTCTTTATCTTAAATTTTAAAAAAAAAGATTCAGCATGTAATAACTTTTCATCTTAATACGCAGTGTTGCTCAAATTTCTTTATAGTTGTGAATAGCCATATTAAATGAGCAATGAATACTGTTCTGAATATATATAATAAAAATTACAATCAAAGAAAATCTTACTGATCTACCAGTTATTGTAAATGCTGTCTAATCCTTAAAACCTTCACTGATCTCATCTTAGCCAGGTGTGCTCTCCCATTTGAAAACCCATAGTTCTTTGTACTTCTGATTGTGTATCATTCTACCTTGCATTGGAGTTCTGTTTACATGTGTTCTTATTCATGTTGCCCAAATATGCATTGTAACTATAAGGTGCTCAAAATACAGAAGCAGGGGGGAAAAAGGCAAAGATCACCTCCAAAAGTTTGGAATGCTAAATAAGCCCTCAAAGAGCTTGTTCCACTCCTCTAACCCCACACCATAAATTGTTTAGGTCTCTAATATGGCTCTAGAATCTTAATTTTTAACCAACACAACTTGGGATTCTGGTGTCCATTATCTTTGGACCATCTGCTAACTGGGTAATACTGGGAAATCAAAATTCCTTTGAGCCTGTTGTGTGTAGAAACATTTTAGATAGCATCTTAAAACTTGGTTAAAATCACATATAAAAGAGTCCAGTGCTTGGTGGAAGTTGGTTATTGGTCATTTCCTTCATACCATCCAGACAAGACACTCTTCCCCTACAAGCTGATAGAATTCCTTAGGCACCTTTCTGCTTCTGCACTCTCATCACCTTTAGGTGTCTGAGTTTCTGGAAGGTTTGTGTCATTAAAAACTAGAGCTACGCTACACTTAATGTCTCTCTGGAAAAGGGGCACAGAATAAAGAATCCAGACCATCATTTTATGATGTTACATGAAAAGAGGGCACATTGAGGTGGGACTCTGGATCCCTGTATCTGAAAGAAAAAGGCGAGAAAATGCCAAGCAGGGAAAAATGTGGAGGTCTTCAATGACCGTGAGTCAACAGCAAAATGAACAGAGAATCAGTATCCATCACTGAAATGAACTCCTTTCTATATTAAGAGACTACTCCCCAGTCCTGGAAGTTTTCAAGTGGCAGTAATGATCACATGTCAAAGGGTTTATTTTTACATTGGATATCAAGTGGGAGGAGGGACTAAAAAACCTAACCTTTCTACCCTTACTTAAATTCTAAAAGGACTAGTAATGCTATTTGTAGGAGAAAGCTGAAAGAAAAGGCGACAGCTTAAAAAGACACATTTCAGGGTTCCATTTTGCTGAATTCTTGCTTGATATTCAAAATGAAATTGGAAACAAAAAACCACAATACCATTTACAATCACTCCAACGGAAATGATACAGTTAGGTGTAAATCTAAAAAAACATGTATAGACCTGTATGCTGAAAATCACCAAAGTTGGTGAAAGATTAAATGCCCAAGTAAGTACAGAAATGTACCACGTGCCATGGATTGGAAGGTCAATTCTTCCAAATCTATAAATTTAGCATAATTTCTATCAAAATCCAGCAAGATTTTTTTAAAGCTTTTTTTTTTTCTTAAGATTTTATTTGTTTATTTGAAAGAGAGAGACACAGCAAGAGAGGGAACACAAACAGGGGGAGTGGGAGAGGGAGGAGCAGGCTTCCCGCAGAGCAGGGAGCCCAATGCGGGGCTCAATCCCGGGACCCTGGGACCATGACCTGAGCCAAAAGCAAACGCTTAATGACTGAGCCACCCAGGCGCCTCCAGCAAGACTTTTTTTTAAGATTTATTTATTTTTAAAGAGCGAGTGCAGGGGCAGAAGGAGAGGGAGAGAATCCCAAGCAGACTCCCCACTGAGCAGAGAGGCTGCTGCAGGGCTTGATCTCACAATCCTGAGATCATGACCTGAGTCATGAGTGGGACGCTTAACTGAGCTACCCAGGGACCCCCAGCAAAATTTTCTTGTAGACCAATACAAGCTTACTCTAAAATGTATATGGAAAGGCAAAACACTAAGAACAGGACAAAAGGACTAAGACAATTCTTAAAAAGAATAAAATTTACAGTAATCAACACTGTGATACTGGTGGAGGGACATATAATGGAACAGGGATTCCAGAAATACACCAAACAAATCCAACCGATTTTTGACAAAGGTGCAAAAGCAATACAGAAAAGATAGCCTTTTAGGGGCACCTGGGTGGTAAAGTCGGTTAAAGCTCTGCCTTCGGCTCAGGTCATGATCTCCGGGGTCCTGGGCTTGAGCCCCGCACCGGGCTCCCTGCTCAGTGGAGTCTGCTTCTCCCTCTCTTTTTCTCTCTCCCTCTGCCCCTCCCCACTGCTCATTCTTGCTCTCTAATAAATAAAATCTTAAAAAAAAAAAAAGGCAGCCTTTTAAATAGTGCTATGGCAATTCAAATAAACAGGTAAAAACATGAATTTAAATATAAGAAAACTGCAAAGCTTTTCAAAAAAATTAAAAAATCTTCAGGACCTAGAAGTGCTAGGGCTAGACTAAATTTTCACACTTGACAGTAAATGCATGATGCATAAAAAGAAAAACTGATAAACTAGAACTCATCAGAAGTAAAAACTTTTGCACCACCAAAGACCCTGTTATGGGGTTGGAAAAAGCAAGCTATAGAAAAGGAGAAAATATATGCGAACTACCTATCCGAAAAAAGGACTAGATTATACCGTTGACCACGTACAGCTCAAACTCGTGTTGTTCACAGGTGAACTGCATAAAGAATTCTCAAAGCTCAAAGTAAAAAAACAGATCAGTTATAAAATGGGTAAAAAACATGAAATATGTGGAGCATGTGAAAAGATGTTCAACATCATTAGCTATTAGGGAAATTCAAGTTAAAACCAATGAAGGTGTATCTGGGTGGCTCATTTGGTTAAGCGTCTGCCTTCGGCTCAGGTCATGATCCCAGGGGCCTGGGATCTAGTCCCCCATCGGGCTCCCTGCTCAGCGGGGAGGAGCCTGCTTCTCCTTCTGCCCTTCACCCCACTTGTGCACATGCTCACAAATGCTTGCTCACACTCTCTAATAAAATCTTTTTTTAAAAAATAAAACCATAATGAAGTATCACTACCCAAATGGCTAAAATAAAAGTTACCAACAGCTGAAACTAAGGTAACATTTTACATCAGCTAAAATTTTTTAAAAGTCACCTAATGCTGGCAAGGATGCAAGAAAAATTAGATCACTCATGCATTGTTGGTGGGATATAAAATGGTGGTAGTCACTGGAAAATATATTAGCAGTTTCTTATAAAATTAAACATGCACTTACCATGCAACCCAGCATTTATACTCTTGGACACTTACTCTGAGAAATAAAAGTGTGCACAAAAAAAGCTATACACAGGGCGCCTGGGTGGCTCAGTTGGTTGAGCGACTGCCTTCAGCTCAGGTCATGATCCTGGAGTCCCGGGATCGAGTCCCGCATCGGGCTCCCTGCTCAGGGAGGAGCCTGCTTCTCCCTCTGACCCTCCCCCCTCTCATGTACTCTCTCTCATTCTCGCTCTCTCAAATAAATAAATAAATCTTTAAAAAAAAAAAAAAGCTATACACAAGTTACATATAGCAGCTTCATATTTAACATATTTAACATATTTAACAGACTAGAAACAACCCACATGCCCTTCAAAGAGTCAATGGGTAGGGGGCGCTTGGGTGGCTCAGTCAGTTAAACATCTGACTCTTGATTTTGGCTCAGGGCACGATCTCAGGGTTGTGAGATGGAGCCCCACGTCAGGCTCACACACTGCGCATGGAGCCTGATTAAGATTTTCTTTGCCCTGCCCCCCCTTAAAAAAAAAAAAACAGTGAATGGTTAAATTCTCATACATCCTTACCATGTAATACTATGCAGCAATAAAGGAACTATGGACATGTAATAATTTGAATGAACCCCAAGGGAATTTTTAGTGGGGGGAGGGGGATCTTAAAAGGTTACATACTGTATGATTCTTTTTATGTAATATTCTTAAAATAACAAAATTAGATGGAAAAGAGATTAGTGATTGCCAGGTGTTAGGAATGGAGGGAAGAAAGGGAAAGTGGCTATAAAGGCAGCCTTGTAATCAAACAATTCTGTAACTTGATTGTGGTAATTGCACAAATCTATGTATAAAATTACATGTAACTATATAAACACACAAATAAATGTTTGTAAAATTGGTGAAATCTGAATAAACTCTGGATTGTACCAACATCAATTTTCTGGATTTGATATTGTACTATATGCAAGATGTTACCATTGAAGGGAACAGTACACAGGGACTCCCTGTGTGTCTGTGTATGTGTGTGTATATTTTGCAACTTGTGAATATATATTCCAAATAAAACTTTAAAACAAAATGGTACAGATGGATATACCCGAAACAGACATTATTAGTGTATTGCTATATATATGTACATATTTCTGAATGAAGACAGGAACGAGTGATATAATTTAATTCCTTTTAAAAAAAAAATTCTCAGTTAAAAACAGATTGTTAGTTTAGGTGTTACCTCAATCCTTAAGAATTATTAGTAGAAAGGGGAAACTCTATTTCAGGGAACTTAAGGAATCGAACTTGATTGTTTTTACATGAAATATGAAAGAAAAGTCAACCTTTTTCTTTTGGAATTCTATATTCTAAAATATGTGTCCAGAGGTTATACTACAATGAAGTGGTGATCAGAACACCACCGTGGGAAAGCCACATCTATTTGCAATGTTGCAGGATCAGCATTCAGTGAATCTCAACAGAGGAGCGAGCTATCCTTTACTTTTTCAAATGCTGACTTTTCAGTGGACAATCCGGGTATACAGGTATATAATGAAAATCTTGAACAGAGAATGACTGATTCCTTCACCCATGAAAGTAACAAAGTCTTTTTGCTGTAAAGGATCTTAGAATTAAGGTATATGGCAGATATGATTGAGAAGCAACTTGTTAAATATAATACAAGCTACTGCAAATTCTTAAATGCCAAAAGGACATAAATTTAAAAACATGTGCTAGCAATTACTACTCCACTATCCCTTATACATACAGCAAAGAAGAAAAGGATGAACAAAGACCAGTTTGTTTAGACAGGGAAACAGGGAAAGATTAGAAAACATTAGCAAATGGCCCATATATTATCAGAGTATTTCCTTTTTGGCACCCAA